TTTTTACATTTAATTGAACTGTTGTGCAAAGCCTTAAGCAGGCTTGTCATTGAAAGTCATAATCAAAATTTTTAATATATAAATTGATATTTCTATGTTATTTGAAATAAATACATGAACACTGCTGCTTTAACAGGCTGTGCATTTATAGCCATATTTATCATTGACTTTGTGTGTCAAAAAAGAAACACACCATAAGATAAGGCCTGGTCTATTGTGACTGTCAATAAAAAATTTTTTGGGCTCAAAAAAATAAAATATATATATAATTTTGTGTTAAAGACCATCAAAATGGTTTTCTTAGGAATTTTGGACCCTTTTTTGTGGGTGTACCAGATGCTCAAGCTTCATGCCTCATCCCCTTTTTAACCTTTAATTTGTGTATTAAATGTACATTAATATTTTGTTTAATGAGTTAACCAAAGTGGCAGCCTGTACTGCCCAAGCTGATTTTTTTTTTTATAGAGAGAGATGTGTTGCTGTTACTGAAATGTATACACTGTCTGTGAGTCACAAATAATTCCATAAACTTTTTTTTCATTTTCTTTGCTCTGTAGTTTTGAAGTGTTGTTTTAAAACCGCTGGCATGTGAAAAATGGTAAGTAAATTTTAAAATGATACAAAAACACCATAATTCAACCAATAAAATGCAGTTATTTTTGTTAAAACTATCCCAACCCAAAAATCCTTGATGTACATTGACATTCTATATCTATATATACACCTTTATTTTTTTTAAAAAAAAAAGGTTCTCTTGTTATATAGAGATAATTTAATACACAAACATCAATAGGTGCCCCTGTTTAATTGCTTGTTAACTAAAATTGCTAATCAGCCAATCACATGGCAGCAACACAATCCATTTATTCCTCTAGACATGCTGGAGATGTCTTGTTGAGGTAAACAACATTATTTTTATACAATATTGATATAGCGCCAAAAGGTTTGCTCAGCGCTGTACATTTTTATGAGGGGACAGTACATGAGATAATACAGTAACAATACAATACACGAGGGGTTCGATGGCCCTGCTTTTTCGAGCTTACAATCTAGGAGGGAGGGGATGGTGGTACAGGAGGAAGTGGCTGTGGGGGATGGAGTGGTAGGAGGAGCGCAGATCTATTGACTGAGATCTAAAGAGGTGGGTTTTCAGGGTGCGCCTGAAGTTGTGGAGGGTAGGTGACAGTCTGATGGATTGGGGTGATTTCCAGAGGATGGGGGAAGCCCTGGAGAAGTCCTGCAGTCGGGCGCGGGAGGAGGAGACCAGGGAGCTAGAAAGTAGGAGGTCTGTGGGGATGGAAGAGTACGGATAGGGTGGTATTTGGGTATCAGGTCGGTGAGATAGTTTGGGGCAGCGTTATGAATGGCTTTGTATGTCAGTGTTAGTAGTTTTAATTTAATGTGTTGTGCAATCGGGAGCCAATGGAGGGAATGACAGAGGGGGGTGGCAGAAATGGAGCTGGTGGTAAGGTGGATGAGTCTGGCTGCTGAGTTCAGGATAGACTGAAGCAGGATAGTCTGTGATGAGGTAGGCCGGTGAGTTGCAGTAGTGCAGACGTGAGACAATAAGGGAGTGGATGAGTTGTTTGGTGGTGTCTGAGGTTAGGAACGTACGTATTTTGGAGATTTTGCGGAGGTGGAGTCTGCATTAAATTTTCCAACAACTGGACTTGGGGTAGGAATGATAGCTCGGAGTCCAGGGTGACACCTAGTAATTTAGCTTTCGGGGTGGGCGTTATGGTGGTGTTGTTGGTCGTGATGGAGAGGATGGGGGTGGGTGGCGCAGGCTGGGGGGAAAACTAGGAGCTCGGTTTGGAAAGGTTAAGTTTGCGTAAATGGAGCAACATCCAGTCTGATATGTTGTTTAAGAGGTGGGGTGATGCGGGCGGAGACTCCGCGAGTGAGGTGAGGGTGTGTAGAGGTATATCCTGGGGTCTTGTTGTTGGTTACGGTGTACTGTGTGTGATATTATCTTGCTACTAGCAAGGTGTACAAAATTAAGAGGCCGTTGCAATTATATCTATCTCAATATTATTTTTCTTATAATTTAAAATATACATGTAAACATCTCAATATCTCAACAAAACTTTTACAGATACAGTTTGTAATCCAAATAACAATTATTACATACCACTTTCTTTAAGAATAGTGTTGGCTATTTCATAGCGAAGTTCATTGATGTTGGCTATGGAATTGTCAAACGAGATTTCGCTATGTCCGATTATGTGCTCTGCAAACTAAATAAAATAAAGATGTCCATCACAATCTTATTTATTTTTTTTTTTTTTTTTTTTAAATAACATTTTTAATTAAAAAAAAAATATATATAGTTTTTTATTTCTTTTGAAAGATTATTTTTCACTGGAAAACAAATTAATATATTTTAGTATTATTCAATATAATACCTTGCACACAAAAACACCGCAGGAGACACTGTCGATTTTGTTTTGGGTGGCATTTACTTTCACATTTTACCTTGGAGACGTTGACCTTATTTTTTCTGAAACAAGCTCTAACAAAAAAAAACACAGAAACAATAACAATACATTTTTACTTGTAGAAAAAGTTATGAAATAGAACTTTACTTCAATAAAGTGACTTATGTCATTTAATTTGTGGAAGTATGTCATAAATCGTCTAATCTATTTCTCCTTGAATTATTCCCAACCCCAGCTCTTTAAACTCTATTGGTGGTCTGGCTTCAAAGAACTAAATTACCTTGTCCCTCAACTCATTTCTTACAAGCTATTACTAAGTAGTACTGATATTTACAAAATATGTGTGCATTGAGAGGGCTGATCTGTCAATCACTCAACTGTCTTACATTCATAGAGGGTTCTGTGAAATATTTCTATCACTGTATGAGCAGGTTGGCAAGCATAGTCAGGCACTACAATAGTTCCATGAACCACCACAGCAACCCCAGCTTGTTGTTGTTGTTTGTACAAGAGTTAATATTTTTTAAAACCAAAAACACCATTTAAAAAGTGTCCGTTACATCACAACTGTGAACAAGAACATTAAAACATTCAAAATTTAACGGTTTGGCCATGCAGTGGGTGTGTACATGCACTGTAAGTTGTCAACTGCTTGTTTTGTCTTTTCGAGACCAAACAACCATATACAGAAAAAATCCTTCGATCTACCAGAACAAAGTAATTTAAACACAAATCTGCAGTGTACTTGTTAATGGTCTACGGAGCCTAAAACAGGCTTCATGACATCAGCAATAGTAAACAAATAAAGACTACTGCAGTGGCGGAGTGATGCAGTCTTGTGCTCGAAGGATCGGTGCTTTACTTAATTCTATCTCGGCTCTCTTCCACCTGAGACAAAAAGGAGCATTTGACATGTGCAGGGTGGACACAGTGACATAGCATGTAAATACTTTTTTTGGTCAAGGTTCAAATAAATAAAATGTGTGTTTTAGCTTTTAATTTACATATTTACAGCATTACAGTATAATTTTCTTACCTTGATACGTTGCTACACTGCTGCATGGCCCAATCACTCTCTCCCAGGGAATTTAGGTATAATGTTTTTTTTCATTAGGATACATCACCTGTTGATAGATAAATCACATTTTTATCAGTCACTAACACTAAATATGTTCTGCTGCAGCTGGCCCTAAAAAAGCAAATGTCCAACCATCACTTGTGTACTCTTCTATAATTTTCTTAATCTGTAACACCTGTCTTTACCCTTAGTCCCAATATTTAATAACTTTCACAATCTGAGTATTCAATGGAACAATTGTAAGGAGAAGTATGTAGAAATCTCCTTGCACATACTTCTATTGTTGTCAGGAGTTCACTTTTTATTGCACCCTGTGCCAATGGTTCTGTTGACGTTTGCCTAAATCCAGCTAGTGGTTGACATCACAGATCCAGTTCACCCTCCTCGTTTATCCTTCAAAGAATGTTGGGTCCGGGCCAGGTGCCATATTGAAAGTTTGTTTGTACTTGTGAGCGATGTGGTCATAGTTTTAAGCAGCTCATATGCTGCTACACCTCCTTCACATTCTTTTACTCCAATGAGAGCGGGGGGGATGGGCTGGCGGGGTGTGGTGTCGTCAGAGCGTTGACTGACAGTCTTTGAACTGAAAGCCGAACCGAGAATAGAGCTATCTTCTTTCTGTGATTGCACTGTTCTCATTGTGGAGCTGGCGTTGAGAATGCTGCAGCTTTGGATAAATGATTCATCTGCATAGGTCAGTATTAAATGATCTTCAGCTAACGTAACATTTTAACAAAATTAATACATGCTTCTTTTTGCACAGTTAAAAAAGGTGCATGAACTATGTTTTTATGCAGCATTTTGTAAAGTATTGCAACAGCAATCGGCAGATCGCTGGTGTCATGCAGGTCTCGTGCATACCTGTCATTATGTTTTGCTTGCTTTTACAGGATGTAAGGGCAAGCATATATACTGGCATGTGCAATCAATGAACTACCATAGCAGTACCCAGCGCTGTAGTACTTTATCAAACATTACAAGAGCCCTGTGAATGAATGATGCAGACATATGGACGGACCTGCACAGATGCGCTGCAGTACGTGCAACTCTACCTGTACTTATGGCAGAGGGAGGGTGCTGCAGGTTTCCTCAGCTGCATTGTTTTAAAAATGTGACATGTTGCACCATAAAAATGTGAGAAACATGTAACGGGTCCATAAAGACGATCTTATCCGTTAATTTTTTATTCTTTTGTATACTCCTATTCCTATTTCTGCTTTAACTGTGATAAGCAACCATCATGATCATTTACTTTGACAATAATAAGAGAGAACCCCTGCGGGCTGTCTGCATAGGATGTAAACGGCTATAAATGTTCTAATGGTTTTATTTACATGTTAAAGACAATAGTACAATTCTAGTCTCAATAATCTTACAATAATCATAAAGTAAACAGTATTTACCGTTGTTTTGGCTACATAAGACGAAAATGACCATAAAACGCACTTTATGTTTTATAGGAGTAAAACACGAAAAAAAATATTATGAACTGCTAGTCTACATATATAGTTCAGGAGATGACCAGGGACTGCAGATACAGTACAAGAGATGAGCACAGACTAAAGACTTGCGGACGTACTACAGGAGATGACCAGAGACTGCGGACAGAGTACGGGAGATGACCGGAGACTGCGGACAGAGTACGGGAGATGACCGGAGACTGCGGACAGGGTACGGGAGATGACCGGAGACTGCGGACAGGGTACGGGAGATGACCGGAGACTGCGGACAGGGTACGGGAGATGACCGGAGACTGCGGACAGGGTACGGGAGATGACCGGAGACTGCGGACAGGGTACGGGAGATGACCGGAGACTGCGGACAGGGTACGGGAGATGACCGGAGACTGCGGACCCGGTACGGGAGATGACCGGAGACTGCGGACCCGGTACGGGAGATGACCGGAGACTGCGGACCCGGTACGGGAGATGACCGGGAGACTGCGGACCCGGTACGGGAGATGACCGGAGACTGCGGACCCGGTACGGGAGATGACCGGAGACTGCGGACCCGGTACGGGAGATGAACCGGAGACTGCGGACCCGGTACGGGAGATGACCGGAGACTGCGGACCCGGTACGGGAGATGACCGGAGACTGCGGACCCGGTACGGGAGATGACCGGAGATTGTGTACCTTTTGGGGAGAGGAAGGGGGATTGTTATCCTAATTTGACATGTAATCGCTCTAACTTACTTTGCGATCGCCTCTCTCCCTGTAGTTTTCTCTGACATCTGACATGCGCATTGGATACCCAGCTGTCAATCCACAAGCTGTCATAGACGTGTGCACACAATAAAGATTTTTACGCCAGGGAGATAAAACGGAAAGTAAAACCAGCAATGATGAGGACACCACTGGACCGAGGAACAGGTAGGACCGAGCTGTATGTTCAGATGCATATAATAGCGATCCTCCAGCACAGTATTAGAACATGGCTGCTGCAATGGGGGTAATACTAGGCCATCCACAGACATTTCCCACCCATTTTTTAGTCAGGAAAAAAGGGCATGTGATGGAGCCAAAAATATGTAATGACAATTATATAATCCTCTCGAAAACCAGTTTTGTTAGGTAAAGTGTAAACACTCTGTGATATTATAAAAAATGTATTACTAATTTTTCACATTGATTGTGTTAGTGGCAGTATCTTTAATGTTTACTTCGGGGTTAGTATGTAGTGTCTACCTTTTTTTTAGTGCAAAATGTTGGAAACACACAAATCTATAGAATCATACAGGTAAAATACAAGAATAACAAGTGCTTCATAGGTTTTTTTTAATTTAAGTAGCCTACACTTCATAGGTATACTCACAATTAAGGTCCAATGGTGCCTTTCATTCACTGATCCAATTAGCATTTGGAAATCCGTAATATTCTCCTATAATTACATCAATTGCAAAGGATTAAAACCGAAATATTTGTGTAAAAAATTATTTGGAAATATAACATTGTAAAGCTTTTATTCTCATTGAAATACCCCGAAAAGGTTTGTAGGGTTTTCCTTCCCACATATTTGTCATTAAATAGGTGTCAATAATCTTAATATTTTCTTGTCTTTCCTGCATTGCTCTTCTTGCCATGATATGGAGGTATGCATTTATAACCTGAAATACACCATTGTTAATCACTATAAAGTATGCATAAAAAAACATTTTACAACGTTACAAATCAAAGTTATATGATAATTAATTGATGATCAGTTATATTATACTGCTCAAAATTTTACATTTTCACATTTACCATTTCATTGACTTTTTTTATTTTCATTTAGTTCTAATTATTGATGATTTTTACATTTAATTTAATTGTAGTTGATACACTACCTCGCTTTCCAGCTCCAGTCCTGGCTTTAATCTTTGTATATCGGAATCGAAAATTTTATAGGGTCCAATTTTGGATCTTAAAATGTGTCCAGTTTTATTTTGCCAAGCCAGGTCAATTTCTGTAGGATAAAAAAATGTATTAGCTCTGTTGGTAATAAATATACTAAATAATAAATAACAATTTTGATAATTTCGATATTAAAATAATTATAGGTAATTAACTGTAATCATTGAGGTTGAATGTTTTAATCCCAAAAAATTTTACTTACCAGACTTGTATTTCTCAGCAATCGGTGGAGTCTCACTTTTTGTTATGTTCAAGAGCTGAGTACATGCTTTTGTAGTTTCAGTGTTGTCAGCATTGTCAACCGTGGTACAAATGTTTGATTGTGTGAAGCTGGACCTGTTTTGTGAAATCACAGGTGATAACATGTGTTCATCACTTGTTTTTTCTTGTGTGTAATTACTTGATAATTTATGCACATGATTGATGTGAACTTTAATAATTTTTCCATTATCAGCTTCTATTGTGGCCTGTTTAGCACAAACGTCGATAAACTTGTAGGGACCCTTGAACAGCGGCTTTAATTTGTCACCTTTTCTTTGTTTACTTCTAATATTTATTTTCAACTAAAACTTCTTCTCCCTTGTTGAAAATTTTTGTAATATCCATTTTCTTTTGATTAATTTGATTGCTCTTGATTTTTTTTTCCACATTCATTTGAATAATGTCATCAATGGAATTTTTGATGTGCATCCCCTCATGAATTGAATGAATGATTTCAGGATCAATTCTTCAATATCATAATCTTCATGCTAGGAAAAATTAAATTATTAATATATACTATATTCAAATGTATCCTATGTGTAAAGTACAAATTATTCCCACATTATTTTGTGTGGGTGTACTGGGCTACCATGCCAAGTTGTGTGTCTGTGTGTGTGTGTATATATCTCCATTTGTGAGTCAAAATGCAGTTTCCTATAGGTAGTCTCTGCAAACCAATTACT